GAGAAACTATCTGTTCTGTAAGCCTTCACCTGAAGTACAATAAAATATTAAAAAAATTAAAAAAAATTACACTGGTAGCTAGGGCCCCACTCCCAGAGATCCTGATGGGTGAGGCACAGGCATCAGAATTTTGTTAAAACTTCTCGCAGTGATTTAAATGTGCAGCCAGTAATGAGATTCACTGGATTAGCGTGCCTGAAGTCAGAAATACCAGTTGGAAGCCTATGCAGTACGTGAGAAACTGGAAGACCTAGACTGTTCCTAGGGGGTTAAAGTGGAGGTGCTGGTGTGGACCTCAGAGCTGCTCACAAATGCAGATTCCTGTACCTCATCTATAGAATTAGAACTCTGGGGGTAGGGCCCAGTGACACGCATTTTATTTTATTACCAACTTACTAAAATAATTTTGACTTTCTATTGATTGTTCCTGTGATATTTTATATTAATTAATGGTTTTCCTTGTACACTTTTGTATTCTGGGATAAACCTAACTTGGGTATGTATGTGTATATGTGTGTGTGTTTAATAATAACAATAATAAAATAAGTACAAAGATACAATAATGTACCCATGACCCCAAGTTGACAACTTCATACCTTTTTTAAAGTCAAGAAATGAAATATTGCATATCGATTTGGAGTTCTCTTTGCCTCCCATCTCCATCATTTTTTTCTCCTTTTCTCAGAGGCAACCAATATCCTGAATTTAGTATATACCTTTACAATTTTTTTTTAGCACACACAGTTTTTATGTGCACATAGCCAGGAATAATATGTAGCATTATGTGTGCATGTTTGGTTTATATAAGTGGTATAATTTAAGTGCACCTTGCTTTTTTTACTGTACATCCTGTTTCTGATAACTGTGTGTGTGTGTGTTTATTATTTGAGTGATTGATAGTATTCCTTTTTATAAATACCACCTCATTTTATTAATCCATTCCATTATTGATGGACAGTTAGACCATTCCCAAAATTTACTGCTACAAATAGTGCTAAAATGACATTTGACATGGTTTTTTTCTAAGGTATAAGCCAAAATGTGGACTTACTGGGCCGAGGGTTATGTACATGTTCAATTTTAATAGAAACTACCAAATGTCCACAATGTTGCATCGTTTTATATTGCTACCAATAATGTATGAGAGTCACCATTTTTCTATATCTTGGTCAACACTTTTTATATTGTCAGTTTACAAATATTTGCCAATCTGAAGGGAATAAAATGGTATTTTGTTATTGTCTTGCTTTACGTTTCTCCAGTTACTATGAAGTGAAGCATCTTCTCGTACGTTTACTGGCCACTTGTGTTTCCTCTTCTGTGAATACCTGGCCATTTCTTTTTCCCATTTTCCGAGTGAGCTGTTTTTTTCATCTTACCGATTTGTAGGAGTTATTTTTATATTTTGATACTAATCTTTTCATTTACATGTTGAAAATACATTCTTTCAGCCTATGCTTGACTCTTTAAAGACTTATTTTGAAATTATAGATTCACAAGAAGTTTCAAAGATAGTACTGAGAGACCTTGGGTACCTTTCACCCAGTTTTCCCCAATGGCTACATCTTACGTAATTATAGTACAATATCAAAACCCAGGAAATTGACATTGGTACGATGTATGGGTATAGTTTTGCTATTTTACCTCATGTAGATTTGTGAACCCACCACCATATTCAAGATGCAAAACTATTCCATCACTACAAAGACCTCCCTCATGGTACCCCTTTATAGTCAGACCCACTCATCTTCCCTCCCCCACAATCCCTAGCCCCTGGCAACCACTGTATTCCATCTGTATAATTTTGTCATTTACATAATCTTTTATAAATGGAACCATACATAAAATATATGACTTTTGAGATTGGCTCTTTTCACTCGGCACAATGCCCTTAAGATCCATCCAGTCTGCAGGTATAGTTTGTTCCTTTGTATGGGATTCCATGGTGTGGATGCACCACAGTTTATTTAACTAATCATCTATTGAGGGACATTTTGA